TATCTGTAATTTAACAAAACAGGGAAAAACTGTAATAAAACAAATTGAAAAATGATTTATTAGTTTTTAGTCCTTAATATGAAGAATTGTCTACAAATAATAGCAACCTAAGATTTTTATTTTTTTTTTTTTTTTCTGATTTAAATCCAGTGAAAATCGTTTTATTTTTTGGTCAAATTGTGTAAAAGAACAAACTACTGTTTTTAAAAATGCTCGTTTTGATCTACAGTTCTGGCCTGTTTCATAAAGTCAACATGTGAGTTACTGTGTTGTCCTCTGAGCTTCACGAGGAGCACACAGACACAGACGTCCTCCTTTCAGGATTAACTCGGCATCACTTGAACATCTGAGTTGTTGTGAGCTCTCAGGACCAAACGCTCAGTAGAAGCTTCCTACAGCTGAGATAGCGGCACCACTGAACGCTGGTGATCAGCGAGTCCAACCCTGCTGCTATTTACAGCAGCACACACTGACAGTAAACACAGACTGCGTCACACGTTTTAGAAAAGTGTGACTCATCGACTATTAAACTCAGCACCAAGACAGATGAGCTACTGAGCTCAGAGAGGCAGATTTCACCTGAGGACTCCTGGTGACGGCGATGATTGGACAGCGGGGACGATACCTGGACAGCAGGTGAGCCGACCTGGACATCAGGAAGGACAGACGGACGGATGAGGAGGTAACACAGAGATTAACTGATGAACAACACTTAGGAAACATAATCAGGGAAGAAACTGGAGCAGCATCGATGCTGCTTATAGAAGACCTGCAACCCCAGAGGAACCCTGTATGAACAGAAAACATCCAACAAGTGACCCCATAAATGTTCCCCCAGATGGTGTCCCACAGTCAGTAAACGCATCATCTGAGGTCAGTGAATGAGTCTCAGTGATTGTAACATAAAGACTCGTGTATGTGGAAGGTCCAGTCACTGGTGGATCAGAACTCCTGGAAGAGGACTAGAGAGGGGGGCCACCGAGACTCCTATGATTCCTCTGAAAGAGGTGCTAGACCTGATGCAGTCTGCAGGAGAACTGAGAGAAGACTTGTTTTGTGTTTTTGTAAATCTGATGCGATCACTTGTTTCTCTTGTCACACAGACGGAGATGTTTGAGCAGGTATGTGTGCGACAGCAGGAATGTTTGCTGAGTTCAGTTCACAGCAGAAAACACACATCAGGTGAGAACAATAGAGCAGCAAAGCGACTTAAGCTGCACCTCAGAGAGGCTGGAAAACATTACGGCAACGTTCAGTGTGTAGCTTTGCTTTGGGATAAATCAGCCATCTGCTGCTGCAACCTTTAACAACCTGATCAGTGTGTTTATTCAGGCCCAAGCCTCAGAAGGTTTAATTCAATATGTGCATGCGTCTGACTGTATACACGGCCGGCTTCCAAGGATTAGCATTCACACCGATGATTCAGCAGCTCGAGGCCGCTCTTACTCAGTATTTATATATTATTTTCTTGATTTGGCTGCTCGTACCAAATATGAAGCAGCAGCCAGTTATCACAGAGACGAAGGAGGACAGAAGCAGGAAGGGAACCAGACCCAGCTACAGACAGAATGACCGGGGAACATGTTGATGGTTCTGATGCAGGTTTAAGAAAAAACCGCTGCAGGAGACAAAGAACAGAACCTCGGCTGCTGAACATTAATCAGTCCATAAAAATGTCATATCTGTGATCCAGTCTATAGAAAGTCTGAAGACTTCTGGCTGATTAATGCGTCATTCTGGTGATTTAATGAAAGACAACCTGCTGCCGTGTTGTGAGGTTCTAATGGATTAATGGGACCAACATGGACCCACTTAGCTGCTGAACCTGCAGTCAGAGTCTCAATCTGCATGTTTGATCGTTTCTGCAGCCTTCTGAGTTGTTGTGTTTGTGCTAAGCTACGCTA